CGATTCAAATGTTGAGCGTTCGGCACGCAGGAAATGGCGATCGCAGTGCACACAATATCACGATATTTAATCACGTTGCGTTACGTACAACAATGTGGCGCAGTAAATATCCAAGGCGCGCGCGTTGTAAAAGTCAAAGGTCGCCACATGACACTGCGGTCCTCGTCGAGACCGTGCCGAGTCGCAACGATACCTCAGTTGCGAATTTCCGCGTCCGTTGATCACGCGAGAAGCCGAACGACCGGCAAATTCCGCGCTTTTCTATTCTTTCCCGGCGTTTTTGTCCATGTCTGGCGTTTTTGTCCATATCCGGCATTTTTGCACCACGTTCGCCCGCGGGTTCGATCGGGCGTAATCACGATGGAGCGGAATAAGCGCAAAGCGGCGATATGTCCCACGATGGTAGAATCACGCTATTCTCTCTCGATTACCCTTACGCGCGTAATATTATTTAATATTAAGTAATATTCCGGGTATATTTTTAGAATATTAGACGTAATATTCTAATAATATTCTAATAATATTATTTAATACTAAGTTATGTTTTTGGAATATTTATAGATGGTTATATGTCCGCTCCTAATAATATAAAAAAAAATATTATTTCATGTTGTTGTAATAATAAATATTTTTTCAATATTCAACTCTACGTATATATATTGGGTTGGCAAATAAGTTCGTTCGGTTTTTTAATCGGAGTAGGTTTACTCGTTCTGCTATCTCTTTTCCTCAGCGCTATCACACAACGCGCTTGCGCAGCTGAAAAGCGACGTTCCACCTAACCTATTTGTAAACATACGCCGGTTAATACCAGAGTATTGTGCATAGAGATATAAGAATAGAGGGAACAAGGGATATATGCTACCTGTAAGTGGAAGTGATAGAGGTCAAGAGAGAGATCTTTCTAGTCGAGCGCTGTGATTGGTTGTTACAATGAGCCGCCAAGACGACCACGCGACGTCAGGAGGGGAGAAAGCAGACTAAAATTTCGTTTTGTAAATATGCGTGTAGAATTAAAATTCGTTAAATATTCGAACGTTAACAAAATAATAATTGGACGCGATTTGTTTAAAAATGAGGCATTGTTTGAAATGCAAGGCGGAGTCTTATCCTGGATGTAACCGTAGTTTTCACTCGTAAGAAAGTACAAATACGTAACCTCAAATAATTATATGTTATTTTTTCCTATATTTAAAAAAATATGTAAATGTAGGCTACCGAAGGATGTAGATATAAGGCGTAAGTGGTTGAATATACTTCAACTACCTTTGTATTTTGAAGTGAAAACAGCATATATTTGCAGTGATCATTTTAGCAATGACAGTTTCTTTGAATTGGATGGAGAAAAATGTATAACTATATCGTCGT